GAAAACCCGCAACAATTAAGGAGGTGCTAGAGAGTGGCTCAGCAGTTAAGAGCACTGGCTGCCCTTGCAGAGAACCACGTTTGGTTCTCAGCAGCCTGTCTGTAACTCCACTTCCAGGAGATGGGATGCCCTCTTCTGGTCTCTGTGGACTTACATTAGGTGTACTGACATACATGCAGCCAAACACTCAAATAAAAAATAAATATTAAGGAAATACTATGAATGACTTTTTGACGATTCATGTGAAAATTAATTTTTAAAAGATTCAATTTCCCCCTACATCTCATTGACCAGAACCGAATCACATCCAGTTCCCAGGGAGGCAAAGAAAGCATCAGGCACAGGGAAACAGAACGGTCATAGAGGGCCTCATTTAATCATACGTATTGCTATGACCAGGAACATTATTGCCCGCTCTCCAAACCAAAGATCAGGGTATGTGAGAAAAGAGGGGAGGACTGAAGGCAGGATGTTGGCAATGTCGGCCAAGGGTCTTCAGGCACTTGCAATCTGTCTTAGTTAGCTTTCTATGGCTATGATGAAAACACTGACCAAAACCAACTTGGGGAGGAAAGGGTTTACTTCACTTTCAGCTTATAGTTCATCATGGAGGGCAACCAGGGCAGGAGTTCAGGGCAGGAACTGAAGCACAGACCATGGAGGAACGCTGCTTACTGGCTTGCTCCTCTGACCTGTACTCAGCCTGTTTTCTTATACAGCCAAGGACCACCTGCTCAGGGGTGGTACCATCCACATAATTCAATAATCAAGAAAATGTCCCACTGGCCAATTCAATGGAGGAAATTCCTCAGTTGAGGTTCCCTCTATCAAGGTGTGTCAAGTTGACAACTGAAGCTATATGGCACACAATCCAAAGATCTCTGACACAGTACAGTTGTTAAATTAGACGGAACTCTTCACCAGTGTTCTTAAAATGCCCAGAAGAAGACACTTTTGAACTGAGAGTGAAAACTCCAAAATCATTGTTAAAGACTAGAAAAGTCATTCTTGGGTGGCACTTAATCACGCCAAATCTGAAGGGCTATACTGTCCTACTGGGAAACGTCACTTCCTGCAACTCAGGGCAGCTGCCTTCCTTCTCAGTACACTGTGTAAGTGCCTCACTGGTGTTTGGACTCTTCTAATGTTGCACCTCTACACTAACTCAAAAATATTCGTTTTCTTGTTTTGCTGTCTCCTTAAGATGGTAGTGTTAGTGTCAAAAGTCTTTACTTTTAGTCATTTCTAAGATTCTGGCACCCAGGTAGTGTCTATTTTCTGTTTTGCTATTAGTGAGTGGATGAGATCTTGGTATAAAGACAAAGGAAAGACTTAGTGGTAAGAAATGAGCCCCTTTGGATTTAGAGTTCTACAAAAAGAAAATGCATGCACAAGTAGCCAGAGGTGCCAGGTCCGCCAGGGCTTTTCTCTTGAATACCCACACAATGCTGCCAAAATAAAAGGACCCAATACCTCAGAACGAGTCATGGAACACTACTCTGCTGAGATGCCAGTGTGGTGCTGCCTTCTCAAAGTGTGTAACTATATTCTTAGGAAGGAGGAAAAGCAGTAAGTTTCATCAGAACCCAGGAGGCAATGAAAACCAGCTCAGGACAGCATTCTGGGAGGGCGGGATGCCAAGAAGTAACCATTCACAAGCCTCCCATGCTGTCTGTTCTTCCAAGCCTCAGATCAGCTGTGGCTTGAGCCCCGCCTATGCAAGCCATGTGTACAAGGCTGTCAGCTCTGGTATGCAGCTGCTCCTACACTCAGGCTGTTGGAGACCACTGCCCTGTTTGAACTCTGCTGTAAGCATGCTTTCATACATGCAGTCACCACCAGCCAAGAGTGTCTATGACAGCACAGCCAGATAGCATGTACTCAGGTTCTTAGTGCAGTGTCCCTTGTGTTTAAGTTAAAAAAAAAAGAACTAGGGTCTGGAGAGATGGCTCAGCAGTTAAGAGCATTGACTGCTCTTGCAGAGGACCCAGGTTCGATTCCCAGCACCCACATGGCGGCTCCAAACCGTCCTTAACTCCAGTTCCAGGGGAATCCGATGCCTTCTTCTGACCTCCAAGGCATTGCATGACACGGGTGTACTCATATACATGCAGATACATTCATACACATAAAATAAAATATTTTTTAAAAACACTATGCCTCATTTACACTATTGTGTAAACATCTGTTCTGTACCTTGTGAACAGGTCACATATTGTGGTTAATAGGTCTTTGAGCCTCAGCAAAGAAATGTCCTGTGATCTACCTGAACACCTACTTAGAGCACCTCATCCCTGAGAAGAAAAACTTTGGGACTTGGACTCTTCTTTCCCCCCCTTTTTTTTTTGGTGTTTTTGAGACAGGGTGTCCCTGTAAGCCCCAGTTGGCCTGGAACTCACTATGTAGAACAGGATGGCCTTGATATCTGCCTGCCTCTGCCTCCCAAGTGCTGGGATCCAAGGCGAGCACCATACCGGGCCCTATCCTGTTTTTAAAATATTAAATAGTCTCGCGTAATATTTTATTATATACTATGCCGTCTCTCTTCTGTGTCCACCACCACCCACTCACATAGGATGGTAGCAAGGGTACCTAGAGAAGCAAGATGCTCTATTTTGGCCCTATCTTTAAGATAGCAAAGTCCCCAGAACAGGGCTCAAAAGGGTGGTTTTTCAAAGCGGGTGGCTTCAAGAGTGACTTAAGGAAACATTTTGGTTTCCATTTGCTGTTTTAAAAATAACTGGGAGTAGGTCCTGCGGTGGGCCATGCCTTTAACCCCACCACTCAGGAGGCAGAGGCAGGCCAGCCTAGTCTACATAGTGAGTTCCAGGCCAGCTAGGGCTACATGGAGACCAAAAAACAAACAAAAAACTGGGACTTGGACTGAAGAGATGGCTCACCAGTTAAGAGCACATATTGCTCTTGCAGAGGCCCTGGGTTCAATGCCCAGCACCCATATGGGGCAGCTCGCAACTACCTGTAACTGAATCTCCAGGGGATCCCACACACTTTCCTGGCCTCCAAGGGCACTGCACTCACATCACAACCGCTCTCCCTAAACATAATTTAGATACTACAATTGAGAATTATAGAATAGAATCCCAAGCAAAACATGCTATGAAATTTCACCTTTTTAGCTTCAATTATTTTTATTATTTTTGCTTTTCAGTATTAATTAGATGTAAAAACTTTTAAACAAACAGAATGCTTTGAGTTAGCTTCCAGAAGTCACAGGCAGGAAGGCTGAGAACAGTCAAGCTGGGTCCTGACAGTGGCCAAGCAGGAAAGTGAAAGACTGGCCATCTGCAGCCTCTCACAAAGGAGGACTTAGCCTGGTACCAGAATGTGCGCTCCTGGAGGGGTGAAAAGCAGCTACTCCATCAGCATTTGCGGCTTATCATTAACCCAGCAGTAGCTGGGTCATTTCACAGAAGCCCTTTCCTGAACAAAATAAGCCAAAACCTGTGGATCCTGAAAGGTTCTGAAAGGTTTGATCAGTACTTGTAGCAAGACTTTCCACAAGGCTCTTTTGTGTGGTTTCTGAAACTTGACATGTGATCTAGCAAAGGCAGCAACGTGACCGGCCCACAATTCATTTAGTCAAAGAAAATGTACTTACTGAGCTCCCTATGCACCAGTTGGCATTCTGAGGCTAGGTGCGGAACTAGGTGGGGTACAGATGCTGTCTCTCCTTTGCAGGGCTTAGAAACAAAAACACAGGTAGGTAAACAAACAAGACGGCGTCCAGCAGTGCACGAGGAGGCTCCCGGAAGAAAGGTGAAGTGCCTGGTCCACAATAAGCCTGAGTTTTGGACAGAGGGAGGAGGCAGACGACAGACCACAGGTGACTTACGGGACGGTGTAAGGCGGTTTTAACGCCATAGTTAAGACAGCTAGGCTCCACCGAAGGGCTTTATATAGGGGAATGAAGTGGTCTGATTGGTTTTCATGTGATTACATCTGCAGCTACTTTTTGGTATGAAATAACCAGCCTGCAGTTACATGACCATGCATACATGCTGCAAACTCCCTGCGACATCCCTGCCAAGGCCCCCCAACTTGTCTCTTGTTTCTCTGCTAAATTGTCATTATAATCTTTGTAACAGCCAGCCGTCTTTTTACAAATCGCTTCCTACTTACGAGCTTTTGGCAAGCTATTTGTGCCTCATTCATACCGGCCCTGAAATGGGAACGCAAGCTCCCGATCACAGGACTGAGTACAGAAACCAATCTTCTTGTGATTACAGCGACCCTCCCCGACAGCTGCGCCGGCTTCCGGCCGCCTACCGAGGCCATGGGAGCACCTGGGTGGGGGACAGCGGCCCAGCTCCGCCCCGCAACAGCAAAGGCCCCCGGCCAAGCGCAGCCTCAATGCAGCCTTTGTCGTCAGGCCGCACCTCCCCCGCTCGCCGCGCATCCCCATGGCAACGCGGGGCTTCGCCTCCCTCCGCCTCCTGGGCCCGCAGACCGGAAGCCGTCCGCGCCGGGGGCTTGTGGGAAGCGGCTGTGAGCACGTCTCTGCGTCTGCCGGGGACGACGAGGTGCGGCGGGTCCTGAGCCAGAGGTCGGCGTCGCCGGGCAGGGATGTGGGTGGCGTGGGGCGGGGGCCGCGGAAGGGCGGCGGGGAGCCGGCTGGGCTCACTCGGCGTCCGGGAGTGCACAGCAGAAGCCGCAGGCTCGGCCCCGGGACAGAAGGGCCGGGGCGCCTGGCCGGGCCTCGGGCTCCGAGCTCCCTCCTTCCCTCCCCGCTCCCTCGCCGCTCGGCCCTCCCCTCCCCCACCGGCCGGTTTTGTTCTATTTGGAGGCCCAGGCGTCACGCGGAGGGTTCTGGGAGTCGGCTCGAGCGGAGGTGGGGACGGGGCGGTTCTTGCGCGCTGCCTGCTGGGACTTGTAGTCCCGCCGGTCGAGGACGGACGTGGCGGGCTGGTCTGCGGCCCTCGGCGGTGAATGCTGGGAAGAGCTCGGCGCGGTGGAGGTGCGGGCCTCCAGGTGGGAGGCGGCGAGACAGTTTCGGACCCGGAGCCAGCCTAGCTCTGGATGCTGGGCCTGGCTTCCCGGCGTTCTCTGCGCCCTCGAGCCGAGTGCGCCCCGCATTGATGGGGAGAGTTGTATTACGCAGGAGTACCGTAGCGTCCTCTCGGAGCAGGTGGATGATGGGACCCTGAGTGTGAGGTCATCCCACTTGTGAGTGCGACCAGCTCTGTTTGGGTGGCCCGTTTGACTAGGCGTTTTCTGACTCCCAGTCCTCATCTTGGTCGGTTTCCATGCGTTTTAAAGTTACTGTTTTCTTTAGATTCTGGGTTCAAGTAAAGACTTGGGTTAGCTGTATGGCTTTTCTTAATGTGTTGTAAACAGTGGCACAGGCATGACTTTGCAAATACTAAAGGCTCAAAAAGTAGCTCAAAGATCCCCCCAAAGGAGAAGTTGGGAAACCCGTGAGATTCCCATGTAAAGACTCGGCTCCTGCAAGAAGTTGTGACTGCCTCTTGTTAATGATGGCTGTTTTAAGTGTATTTATGGTGTGGATGCCTGAATAATGTTTGCATGTTACGTGATCTTTTACTGGACAAATAGAAGCTTGAACGTCTGACCCTCCTGTGTCCACCACCTAAGTGTTGGGGTTACAGGCATTGGACACCACGATCAGATCGAAGTGAACATTTTTCACATATATTTTAAGTTTAAGGAGTTCCTAAGCATCTTAATATTTTTTAAGTTAAAATTTGTTTTTAAATTTAAAGCAGTTCAAGTTGGGCATGTACCTCAGTGGTAGAGCTCATTTGTGTTAAGGTCCCTGGATAAAATCCCTAGCCCCACTGGGGAAAGAAGGCCAGTTGACCACAGTGTCCCACTCTTCAATTTAGAGGGGAAAAAAGTAGGGGTGGGTCAGATGACTTAGCAGGTAAGGGAACTTGCTCCCAAACCTGACAATCTGAGCTTCATCCACCAGTCTCACATGGCAGGAGACAGCAAATTCCTGCAAGTTGTCTTCTGACCTCCATGTATGCCCATAACACCAAATAAACATATAAATGTTCTGGAGTCTAGCATATTTACAGAACACTGGGATAAGCTGATTCTTGCACAGATTCTTTTGATTATTGAAATAGCTTTTCTTGATATGAATAGTATCGTTTTAGATCTCAGCTGAAACTGTTAAACTCCATCAACTCTACCATTGTAGCCTGAACCATGATCAAATTAAATGACTTACAGACAACACATTTTGAAAGTGTTTTCATTAACTTGTGATGTGTCATGGTGTCCTTTTGAGATCAAAGGACAACTTGCAGAAGTTGGTTTTCTCCCTCTGTGCATTCTGGGTGTCAAACTCGGGTCCTCTGGCTTGCAGCAGGTGCCTTCACTGACTGAGCCACCTTTGCTAGCCCTGCGCACCATGAGATGGTTCAGTGATTTTTTTTTTTAGCCGTTTTATATTTTTACACTATTCTTGCTATGAGTGTTGTAGAAAAATGGGCAGAAGGCTAGACTTGGCTGTAATTTACCAACTGGTAATATTTCAATCAATATAGGCTATTGGAATTTTTAATTCAGTGAAACAACAGATGTCTTTTATTCTGCTGCTTTGCTGTATGTTGGACTATTTGGTCATTTCTGTATCTTTATTTCTTCTACTTAGGAGTACCTTTGAAGATTACAGGGTATTTCCCTGAGGTTTATATCATTCCTTGATTGCTGCTTCTTGAAGTATTGTAACAGGATGTCTGCACAGTCAGGGGAAGAAGATTCAATACTGATCATCCCAAACCCAGATGAGGAAGAAAAGATTCTGAGAGTAAAGCTGGAGGAGGATCCTGATGGCGAAGAGGGATCGAGCATTTCCTGGAACCATCTCCCTGATCCAGAGGTCTTCCGGCAGCGATTCAGACAATTTGGATACCAGGATTCACCTGGGCCCCGTGAGGCTGTGAGCCAGCTCCGAGAACTGTGCCGGTTGTGGCTCAGACCAGAGACACACACAAAGGAACAAATCCTGGAGCTGGTAGTGCTGGAGCAGTTTGTTGCCATCCTACCTAAGGAGCTGCAGACTTGGGTTCGAGAGCATCACCCAGAGAATGGAGAGGAGGCAGTGACCGTATTAGAGGACTTGGAAAGTGAACTGGATGACCCTGGACAGCCGGTGAGCCCTGTCGGAAGCCCTGACATAACTTGATTCAGCACACTGCTGAATTAACTCCATTCAGCTAAGTTAGAATTGTTGATGCCTTGCTCCCCACACGCTGCCCCTCCAAGGTCCCGGTGCTGCTCTGCCTTCTAGCCTTTTGTGGGGTTATTTTCTCTGTGGTTCCTCTTACGGGTGGTTAGTATCAAAATTCCTTCTGAGTAGAATCAAAATGTTGTTTGCAGGTTTCTCTCCATCGCCGGAAACGAGAAGTACTGGTGGAGGAGATTGTATCTCAGGACGAGGCTCAGGGACTGCCAGGTTCTGAGCTTGACGCTGTGGAGAACCAGCTCAAGTGGGCGTCCTGGGAGCTCCACTCTCTGAGACACTGTGGTGAGGACCAAGTACCATGTGGGCTAGCTAATGGGGCCTCTTTCCTGCGCTGCTTGCTTGTTCTTGTGGTGGTGCTGAATCACTTGGAACCTGATTCTTTTTTTTTTTTTTAATTTATTTTTTTTTTTTTTTGTGTATGAGTGTATTGCCTCCATGTATGTGAGTGCGCCCATGTCATGCAATGCCATGGAGGTCAGAAGAGGGCTTTGGATTCCCCTGGAACTGGAGTTTTAGACAGTTGTTAGCTGCCAGGTGGGTGCGGTGCTGGGAATCGAACCCGGGTCCTCTGAAAGAACAGTCAGTGAGTGCTCTTAACCGCTGAGCCATCTCTCCAACCCTGGCTCCTGATTCTTTAGATAACTAATTCTATAAGGTCTTGACTTTTTTATAATAATAGATTTGCTGGCCTCGGATAGTTCTATTCCTAGATGGTAGTATCTTCAGCCTTTTCTCTCTGTGTCTCTGGTGAGGACCTGACATGGCAGGCTTATGTTTGCCTCGCTCTGGTCAGCGCCCTCCTGTAGACCATGTCTTGATTTGTACACAGCTTTACTTATCTGTCATCTGTGCATGTCTGTTCTGCGTAATCCTGTTGGTACAGTGAGCTTCTTGAAGTCTCTTCAACCTTTTTGTTTATTGTATGTAACTGGAGTCTTCCTAAATGTTCAGCTATTTCTGTTTTTAAAAAAAAAAAAAACTAAGAAACTCTAAAAAATAGAAATATGGAGAACAAATTCTTCACTTTTATCTTAAGTATTTATTCAAAATACGCTCTCAACCTAGAATATGGTTTTGGTGTGGAAAAATTAAAGTATCATACTTAGAGTCCCCTACGGTTTTAGCTTTCACTATCTGTTATGAGTGCCGCGCACTTGTTTATACAGCCTAGTATAGTCCTAAAAGTGCTGCATTACATTTTGTTTGTAGGAAGCTTTGTTTGATACTGTGTCAGGAACCATTCCTTGACTTGGATGGAGATAATACTGGTATGCCACAGACGAAGGGCTGAGTGCAGTCTCACGTTTCATGGGACATTGTTCAGTGCAATAACGTTTGAGGGCTGCTAGGCCCAGCACTTTCATGTCTCCTTCCTGAATTTTAGAATAACTTTCCTCTATTTTTAATAGCCTCATTTTAGCGGTCTAGTATCTTCTACATTGAGAAACTTCACTTTATTGACGGGGTGTCTCCAGTTAGGCTTCATGCCCAGCCCTTCTCCTCAGGTGTCCCAGCCTCACCACCGCTGCAGCCCGTCACCCTCCCTCTGTCTTTCTCCATCTTATTGACTTGTCCTTCCCTTCATCATCTTCCTACTGTCCTCTTCTGAGTACTGCGCCCCTCGTGTCCCTGTCTGCTCTGGAAGGGCAGCTCTCACTGTGACTTGCTCTCGCCTCTGTTTGCAGGGCAGTGCTGCTTCATGGTAGTCGAATTTAGCTTTTCTTTTCTAGACACTGCTCACCGACACTTGAGAAATAAAGATTTTTCTAAGCACCATGACAGATTCTAAATTAGGGCAACTTTCTTTTATAGGGAACCTGTCACTTATTAATGCTCTACTGAAGTTTTACGAGTCATGGCTCTAGTTAGCACAGGATGTCCTCAGCTTCTCCTTAACCTTTTCTTGTCAGGACCCCTGTGTTCTGTTTTGAGTCTTGTGTTGGCCGTGGCCCACTATGACTTTCTTATTTCAGAAATAGCTACCATCTGACAGAGTTGTTAAACATACTTTGAATTTTGATGTGATTTCTTTGTCAAATTATAATTTCCTAATGGCCAGTTTTTCCTCCCAAAGTTTCTTTCAGACCTACCAATATCAGTTCGACTTACCTTCCTATCTTACAGTCTACTGTTTCTTACCTTTTGGACTATGTTCTATCTAGATAAAACCTTTTGTGTCCTGTTATCATGCCTGAAGCTCATTAACCTCATAATTTTTCAGTTTTTCTCTGGGGAATAGGCAACTGTATGCATAGATGTGCACAAACTATTCACTTTTAGTTTATTAAAAATACTTTTTTTGCAGGGCATGGTGGTGCATACCTTTAATCTCAGCACTCAGGAGGCAGAGGCAGGCAGGTCTCTGTGAGCCCCTCCCCCCCCCCAAGCCAGCCTGGTCTACCTAGCAACTTCCAGGGCAGCTACATAGTGAGAGCCTGTTCCCTCCACCCCCCCCCCCCCCCCCCAAAAAAAAGCCTCACTTCTTTTGTTCAAGTTCTTTTCTCCCCAGATAGGAATTGAGTGATGTTTACATTTTCTGTTTATTTCAGATGATGATGCTAGGACTGAAAATGGAGCGCTAGCTCCAAAGCAGGAAATTCCTCCGGCAGCAGAATCTCATGAAGTTCCTGGAGCTCTAAATATAGGTGTTCCTCAGATTTTTAAATATGGAGAAACCTGTTTTCCCAAGGGCAGGTTTGAAAGAAAGAGAAATCCCTCTCGAAAGAAACAACATATATGTGATGAATGTGGAAAACACTTCAGTCAGGGCTCAGCCCTGATTCTTCATCAAAGAATCCACAGTGGGGAGAAACCGTATGGATGCGTTGAGTGTGGGAAAGCATTCAGCAGAAGTTCCATCCTTGTGCAGCACCAGAGAGTCCATACTGGAGAAAAACCTTACAAATGTCTTGAATGTGGGAAAGCCTTTAGTCAGAATTCTGGGCTTATTAATCACCAGAGAATCCACACTGGGGAGAAACCTTATGAATGTGTTCAGTGTGGAAAATCATATAGTCAAAGCTCAAACCTTTTTAGACATCAAAGGAGACACAATGCAGAAAAACTTCTGAATGTTGTGAAAGTTTAAGAAATTAGAAAAAATTAAATCATCACTCAGGTCTTTTTCTTCAGAAATGAAGACAAAATGAAAACCATGAAATGATACAGAAAAGCTTTTTTCCCTGTTGACTGGCAGAAAATTCACTGGGAAATACAAAAACAGAAATCTCCATTCACCGTTATTATTTTGTCTTGAAAGAAATGGTGTCACAGCTGCCTAGACACTGAGATCTTAAGCAATTCAGGTGTTAATACCTAAATTTTCCATGTGACATTTATAGTCTCTACATCCCTCCCACCCCTCCCACCCCACCCCCAAACAATGAACTACCTAATTCTTTGTCCCTTTCTTAAAATTTCCTTTTTCAGACAAATGCTTTATTTTTGTGTTGGTCATTGAATGTTTTGTGAGGATACATTCCTTTTTAACATAAAAGGCAACAGAGGAATTATAAAATTTGAAAACCTATCTTCAAGCGTTTAAAACTTACCTCTGGAATTTTACCGTTCCGTCTACTTTTGAGAAAATAGATGATAAAAGATGGCCAAAAGCCTCAAAGTAGAATGAGCCTTCAGCTCTCAGATGAGTGGTGGTAGTAGAACTTAAAAACTAAAGGGAAAGGTTAGGGAAGATACAGAAAATATTTCTGCTGTGATCACTGAAGTGAATCAGTTTAAGTACAGTCATCCTACAGGAAAACTCAAGGACTGCTTTTTTAGTTTGTGAGCATCTTACTAAGGGAACCATTTTCCTCTGTAAAACGAGACAATTGTAAAGGTGAAAGGAAAACACTAAGGAAGGATTTGTAGCAAATGGCAGTGTCGAGAGGCAACTGTAAGGTTAAGGTCATGGTATGTCTTGGCCTTTAGAGGAAAACTCACAGCTCTAACCATTATATTGCCTTTATCCTTGTTAAGGACAGAAAATTCCTTGACAGGTGGGCAGCAGGTATCAGGTTTGCTATTTTTATTCCCTTGGTACAAAAGGGTTGAACACCGGGCTAAAATAGCCATGCATTTATTATTAAGCAGCTTCTCCCGACAGTGAACCTTGCTAGGTACTGTAGCCCTTCCATAAGTAGGTAGGCGTCTATTCCACTGTGGGTCATGAGGGTTGGTGTAAGGCTCTCTCATGTGGTTAGCCTCATTCCCCATGGGCATTCCCAGGTTACCTCTGAGATTCTCAGAGCTGTAGGTCTCTTACCAGTGTGTTGGGTTTGAATGGAGAGGACTCAACTGAGAGAGCCACCCAGCTCGCCAGCATTCTTCAGAGGTGAGTTCAAGATACACTCTTGCAGTTTGAAGGTTTATGAATCATTAAAAAAAACTTTCTAGTAGCATTTCGGTTGTGACTACATGTTAAGTCAAATGGACTGTTCTTTAAAAATAACTAGGATGTTAACAACTAGTTTATTAACTGTCAGAATTGATTGAACCTTTTTTTTAATTTACAGTCTTAACATGTCTTTAAAAAAATGTATGAAATACATTGTAGTAATAGGATTATATGCCTTGGCTGAGAATCCCAGGTACTGTGATTCTGATGTTTAATGGAAAACTCCGGAAGTAAAATATTGGCTGTGAAAAGGGGATTTTTTTGTGTGTGAGACAGGCATTGTTACATGGAAAATGATCCATGCAAGTGCAAATATTTCATAATTCCAGAGATTAGGGTTATACCTGGTGCTTGGATCAAATTTTAAAATGAAAAGTGAGGTTTGCATGAGCCTGTTGAAAAACAGTAATAAATGCAAGGCCAGCTGGTGGAGGAGTGAAGCAGAGTGAACCTTGTTCATAGATTCTGATAACAATTATAAGAAATGTGCTTTATAGATTAAGATTTATTAAGTATAAATATGTAGTAATGATATAATGTATTTTTAAGTTATACAAGAAAATGTAGGGACTCTTTGGTCTTTCTTCTCTGTGGCTGAGAGGAAGCAAGTTAATGTCCAATAAAGCTGTAAACTCCTCTGCTGTAAGGTAAAGTGACCTAGAGTGGATGGACTGATTTATTTATGACTGGCTTCTTTCCAAGTAGGTTTTGAGGTGGTGCATTGAAAGACAGACTGCTGGGATGACAGAATTCTTGTTTTAGTAGGTAAGAGGCAAGTAGCCATTCAGGCGGGAATGTCAGTGATCTTATAGCTTACCTGTATGCAGGAAGCTTCTCTGGGATAGATTTGCTGCAAATGCCAAAGGTGTTTGGTAATGTCAAAGCACAGAAAAGTTAGCATTAGAGTGGGCAAATATGCTCAGATACCTGTGTGTTGGGAAGGAAGCTAAGACAGGCTCTGTGGGCAAAGGGAACTGGACCAGGAAACCTGGGTGTGATAAACAGGAAAGGAAGTGATGAGATACAGACTTACCCCTCTTTTGCTAGACTAAATAGGTCCTTGCTAGACAAATTAGATGTACGAAAACTCTTCAGTGATTTATGACTTCATCCACACTTATACCCACACAGATCATCATCATAAGTTTTGGAGGTGCCTAGTCTCTGATGAAGTAGTCATGTGGCAGGTGCCAAGCAGTGGCCTAACCACCTGTTTGATTAGCAGATGCATAACTATGTTAGGGCATACACATTGCTGATATACTGCCCAATATAAGCTGTTAGGTTGTTTAAGTCACACCCAATTGACATTTGGTCATTTAGCAATGTCTTACCTTTGTGTAAGCTTAGGGAAGGTTACTTGTATTGAAATAATGTGCATGTTAAGCTTTGGACTGGAATACCTAATATCACCAAGATTTGTAGACTAGAAAAACAAGATTCAGACATCATGTGACTTGGATGTGGCCACCTAGTCCTGTGAACTCCAAGGCCAGGGTTTTTGTTCACTGTGTCATGGATAATGACTTAAATCCTGTTTGGTAAGCACTACATTTTTGTTTTACAGTTAACAAAGGAGAGCTATTGTACATACACATTTGAGTTTTTCACAATATAGAAAAAAAATGAAAAGGGGACATTTTCTTCGTCATAGAAATGGTGGTAATTTGGTTTATTGTCCTTTGAGATTTAGCTATTACTTGTTTAATCAAAAATATGTTAATAGCTCACCCTAGGGTTGTATACAGGCACAACTGAAGTGCTTGTCCATGAATTAAAATTTATTTTCAACCGTCACACGAAGTAGGTACATACCTCCAACGTTCATCTACTGCACTGAGACTTGCTTTCCCTCTGCAAATGGATGTAGACATTTTTATAGTTGCATAGTATCCCATTGCATGAATATAATTGCAGTTCATCTAACCAACACCATATTGATGGATTATTAGGTTCTTTATAGATTATAGGTATGGTTAACATCCATATACATAACATTTTACTACCTGTGTGGGTATTTCTATAATATAAATAACTAGAAATTGGTTTATTGAGTCAGAGAATGCCTCTTTGACAATTGGGGAAATACAGTGAAAAATTACACCATTTTGCAACTCTCTGCCGACACCCATCAGTGCTGTGCATCCTTCAGATGCCTTGCCCATCTTATAGGCCATTTTTTTTTTCCCACTTTTTTGTTGTGCCTTTGGTTATTAGTAAGAAGGAACATTGGCTATTTTTATGTTCTGTTGTGATTGCTCTTGCCCAATTTTTTTAAATTATGAGAGGATAAACCACTGTGGTTCTCATTATACAAAACTTAAAATGGACAAATATAAAAGTAGAGAGACCATTTTCCCCAGGGCTTCTAGTTGCTTCCACTTCCCAGGTTGGCATCCATCCTAGATGTTTTCACACATTTCCATAAGAATATGCAGAAACATGGATACAGTTTTTAAATAAGATTATATATGAGTTTTAAGATCTTTGTCTCATATTTTGTTCTTTAAATTTATTTAATGATTAATGGGACTAAGTGGTATGAAAATACTATTTCCTTCTTTTGCTGGTCTTTGCCAAAGTAAACATCTTATACAGATGTCTTTGCACATCTTTTGTGTATTTTAGATTGGAGTCCTAAAAGGTATGTTGCGTTAAAAAATGTTTACTGTTTGACACATCCTCCTTAGTCTTCCAAAAGACATGTATACATTCACCAACTATAGAAAATGCTACTTTCTTCACATAGCCTTGCCTATACTTGATAGTCTTTATCTGTTAGGCAAAAGGAGGAGAGGAAGAAATAAAGAGACTGTCCTCATTTTGCATTTCCCAGATGGTGAGGTTGGGGTTCTTTCTGTGTTTATTGGTCATTTATTATAATTTCATCAGGGATTGTTTATTCCTATCTTTTACTGCCTTTGTACTGGGTTACATGTGGGTTTCTGTTTGTTCCGCATCTCTTCCCTCATCTTTGGTAAGAAAACCCTTATTTATTGTGGTTAACCCATTCCGTATGGCTTAGGTGAGCACATGACCAGGCCTGGCCTCCTGAGTCCCACAGCACCCGAGCCACGCTGATTAAAGAACAGGCATGTAATTTAGCAGGCTAAGGAGAGCCCTCAACAGTACTGCTGGGACTACTGGAAAGAAGGCTTTGCGGAGACCCCAGAAACCAAGGGCAGTGGAAGCCTGACTTGCACCGGTTGGAGAAAGTCTAGCTGAGGAGAAACTCAGAGGCTGGCAAAAATGGTGAGAAAACTTAAGTTCTGATGTCATTTTCTGGAGGCCCTAGATCCAGCTGTGCCTAAAGCCTGCCCTACCTCTGGACTTTAAAGTTTTGTGAGCCAATAAAGTCCCTTTCTTGTCTAAGATAATTGGATTTGGCTTCGATCCTGATTAATATAGGTTATTTGTATTTTCTTATTGATTTGTAGAAAACATTTGTAATTTTAAATTCTAGACTTATATTTCATGCATTATATAAGTTAATAAAATTAGCACGGCCTTCCATGATTTGGGCTGTTTACCTCTGCCATTTGTTCCTTTGCTCTCCCTCCTCTCAGTCACACACCGTTCACATGGACTCCACACTCTAGCGGTCCCTGAGTGGTGTTCATGTCTCAGCAGCTCTCGTCCTTCCAGATTCATCTCATCTAGCTCTGTTACACTGCTGACTACCTGCCTGGCACCACTCTGAGGACCTTTCCCACCTACAGCTACTACTGTGGTCCTCGGAGCCCTTCACCTACATGGTGGTTTGGGGCCCTCATTTTATTCTTGGCTTGTGATTTTGGAACTGTACAGGCCCAGTACCTGATTGAAAATAATTTTATACACACAAAATACATACATACACACACAAAATTGTGTGTGTGTAAATGCAGATGAAATACAGAAAACATCAAAGTGTTTGGATGCTACTCAGATCATGGACTCAGTCTGACTTTGGGGTGCTCTTTATTTTTAGACTTCCTGTCATATTTCCTCCATAAGAAAATACATAAAGAAGGATTTTAGTATGTGTGGTGGCACACGCCTTTAACCTCAGTACTTGGGAGGCAGAGGCAGACGGATCTCACTGAGTTCAAGGCCAGCTTGGTTACATAGTTCCAGGTCAGCTACAGGGAGACCCTGTCTCAAAAAAAGACCAATAAAAAAGAAAAATCAATCTTAAATTTCATATGGAAACATACACAGGCACACACATAGGATAGGGACTAGAGAGATGGATCAGCAGTTAAGAACACTGGTTGCTCTTTGGCCATTGCATGACACGGATGCACTTACATGCAGGCAATACGCTCATATACATAAAAATGATAATGTAAATATTTTTTGGATAGCCAAAAAATCCTGAACAATAAGAGTTGGAGGTATCACCATCCCTGATTTCAAATTACACTACAGTGCTACAGTAATAAAAATAATATGGTACTGACATAAAAACAGACACACTAATCAGTGCAGTAGAATTGAGGTCCAGATTTAAATCCATGCACTTACAGCTACCTGTTTTTGATAAAGAGGCACAAAGACACATTGGGGGAAAGCATCTTCAACAAATGGTGCTGGTCAAAGTGGATAACTACATGTAGCTCTCACCATTCAAAGTGGATAACTACATGTAGCTCTCACCATTCAACTCAACTCTAAATGGATCAGGGCCCTCAACGTAAGATCTGACACTGAAACTGATAGGAAGTGGGAATAACTGAAATTTATAGTCAAAAGAAAGAACTTTCTGGATGGGATCCCAATAGTGCAGGCATTAAGACCAACAATTGACAAATGGGATCTTATGAAACTAAGATGCTTTTGTACAGCAAAGGACGCCATCATTTTAGTGAAGAAGCAGTCTATAGAATTTTTAAAAATCAAATACAAAAAAGAATCTGACAATTTAAAAAATCAAATACCAAAAAACATTAAAAATTTGGCCAAGGAACTAAGCACCAAGTTCTCAAAAGATGAAGCACACATGGTTAAGAAATATTTTTTAAAATGTTTGCCATCTTTAGCTGTCAGGGAAATGAAAATAAAAACAGCTTTGAGAGTTCATCTTATCCCAGTCAGAGATTCATCCCAGGTGAGATTCAAAAATGATGACAACATGCTGGCAAGGATGTGGGGAAAGGGGAACACTTAATTGCTGCTGGTGGGAGAGCAAACTCGTTTGGGCACTATGGAAATGAGTGTGGACATTCCTTAAAAAGCCAGAAAGATCTACCACATGATCCAGCCAAACCACTCTTGAGCACATACCCAAAGGACTAGAGATATCCTACTAGAGATACCTGTTCATCCATGTTCATTGCTGCTCTATTCACAATAGCCAGGAAATGTAAACAACCTAAATGTCCAACAGATGAATGTGTAAAGAAAGTTTGGAACATTTATACAATGGAATATGCAACTATGTTAAGAAAAATGAAATTAAAATTTCACATAAACAGATGAAGCCAGAAACAATCATCGTGAGTGAAACCTAGAAAGACAAATGTCATATATTCTCTTTGATAAGTGGATGGTTAGCTTTGAATCTTTAGATATGTGTGTTTCAATTGAAAATACATAGAGGTCAGGAAATGTAGTAAGAGGCCATGGGGGAGGGTACTTCATGGGTGAGGAGATAGAATGCAGTGAAAGAGGAAAAGGAATAATGGAACACGAAGGGTTAAATGGGGTGGGGGATGGGAAAGTACAGGAAGGAGTATGAGGAGGGGTAACTAACACTACTAAAAGCCTTTTGAAAAATTCAAATGGAAACCTACTGTAGAAGTTTCTTAATGTATATACATATACAATCTAAAATATTTAAGTGGAGATACCCTATAATGGGGAACAATGCCCCATTGCCACACAGCCTGGCAAAAAGTCCAGTGTCAGGAATAGCCTCCTTAGAGTTGTTGATGTGGAAGGAGGGGGGTCCTCAGAGACCCTCAAACAGCACTTGTTATTGCCATTGCTCTGGGTTAACTACTAGAACTTGACAGTAAGACCCTATTGCTGAAGACATTACATACTTGAGTTGTAGAACAGGCAAGGAGAAATCAAGCTGGTATTCAAAGCTTCATCTCTATGCCTAGCTTTCACAGTGCTTGAAGGTGCTGTGTACACAACCAGAAGAGAAAAGTAATTATCAACCTTAACCATCTCAACTCTGCAATCTACAATAATGACTGGCCTGGCAAGATGTGCCCCCTGGTGCAATAGTGGTTTGAATATTAAGGAAGTAACCAACAATTTTCTCTTTGGGCTTAAGACCTTCACAAGATGGGGCCCATACCTGGCACTGTCACCAGGGCCAAGAACCTATGGCTATACAGGTCACAGGCAGTTAGGGAGAACCTACAACTATTATCCCAAGAAATGGACACGGTATTAAACCGGCTTCTAATGACTTATTGTTATATACGTTAATGCATCTCTGAACTCACCAGAGAAACTTCTTGCAGCAGGATGATGGTTAACAGAGAGATCCACAATTGGTTCAACATGGAGAGAATAAGAGACTGCAGAGTGCTTAGCCCTAAATGGGACACTTAAATCACACCTTCTCCTCCCAAGGTTCAGAGATCATTGCAGAAGAGGGGCAGAAAGCTTTTAAGAACCAGAGGTGGTAGATGATTATGGAAAGTGTTTTCCTGACAGCAGGGCTGTTGCACATATGAACTTACAGCAATTGTGACAACATGCACAAGACCTATGCTAATTCAAACCAGACATACAGGGGGGTCACAGTTAAGAATTTGTCTTGAGTCTCAAAGGAGACTTTCGCCTTTCCACAGTGTTGGGAAGGTTAAAGACTATGATGACCTTTAAAGTTGGACTGAATGCATTTTGCATTATGAGATAGACATGAGTCTCTGAAGGCCAAGTTGGAATGACTTAAAAATGTCTGCCTGACAAAGTGACAAGGAGTGGCTTTTGATGACCTAAGAGACACAACTTCAGCCATGTGAGGAAGGACTTTCCAATGAGGCTTAACTCAAGAGGGAATACCAACCCTGGATATGGATGCCACCATCCCATAGGCTGTGATCCTAAACTAAATAAAAAAGGAGAAAGTGAGGTGCTGGGGAGACAGCTCAGTGGGTCAAGTGCTTGTTGTGCAAGTGTGAAGTCCTAAATTCATACCCCCAGAACTCACATAAAAGCTGGGCTTGGTGACACAGGTATGTAACCCCACTGCTGATGGGAAGGAGACAACTCCCAAGGGTTCACTGGCCAGCCTGTCTAGCCAATTGGTAAGCTCCAGGTTCAGTGAGAGACCCTGTTTCAAAAAATGAGTTGGGAGCTGGAGAGATGGGCCAGCAGGTAAGAGCAACTGCTGCTCTTCCAGAGGACCCAAGTTCATTCTGAGCACCCACATTGCAGCTACCATTTGTAACTCCTATTCCAAGGGACCTGATGGCCCCTCCTCTGGTCTCTGCAGATATTGCATGCATGTGGTACACATACATACATGCAGCCAAAATAGACATACACATAAAATAAAAATAAAGAGGAAAGCAAATGTACTAGTGTCTTTCTCTGCTTCCTGACTGTGGACAGAATGGGATCAGTTGCCTCACAATCTGAGTGCTGTAACTTCCCTGCCATGATGGACTGTGCCCTCAAATTGTAAGCCAAAGCAAATCTTTCTTTAAATTGCTTCTGTTCGGGAATCTTGTTACAGCAACAGCCAATACTCTAGGAAAGCTGATCAGTGACCTCAAAGACGAGACAAACAAGCAGAAGTCATTGAGGTCCTGGGAGGAAAATCAGCAACATAGAGGAAAAAGCAAGATGGATGAGAAATCAGTAATACAGATGAAAAAGTGAGCAACATTTCCATGCAAGGCAATTGAGAGTTTGTAGATTAAAAAACAACCCAAATAGCAAAATCGGAAATAAAAAAATTCCGTGAAACAAAATTAAAACCATGGTGGAAAGAATCATCAGTCGATTTGACTAAGCAGAAGATAGAATACTAGACATGGAGGACAAGGTCAAGGAAATCCTACACTCAAATATCAGTAAGAAAAAACAGAAAAAAAAACCACCTGAACATGATCACAATGTCCAAGAACTCTGTAATAATCCACAAGCTAACAGCTTGTGGGTGAGTGCACACCCAGCACTTGGGAGGCAGAGGCAGGTGGATTTCTATGTGTTCTGTGAGTTCAAGGCCATCTCGGATAACATTGCAAGTTCCAAGCCAGCCATGGCTATGTAGCAAACCCATCTCAAAAACCAAAAATAACCACATCAGATGTCTCATCAACAACTCTGTCAAGAAAGCATGAAAAAAACGTATTTAAACCTGAAAGTACATAATGGCTAACAAAATTATATCCAGCAAAAATATCTTTTTAAATTGATGGGAGAAATAAGGACATTTTGAGGAAAGTAAACTAAGAAGGTTCCACAGAGGAGGAAGACAGTCTCAATCATGAGCCCAGGAAAGAACAATTTTCATGAGAGGAACAGAAGTACAATGGAGATTGTGAGGATGTACCATGATTGTCAAC